ATCTTTCCAAAATCATAGCGAATACGTCACAATATGCTAAGGGAACAAAGCCCAAGCGAAAACAATCGAAAAATATCAAAAATCCCGAAATTAGCAAAACCCGAGCCCTGAGCCCACTTCTCGAAACTCAGAAATTCTTACATCAACCGGTTCCTTATCTCCTCACGAGTTCATACATACCAAAAGTTCTCAAATCCGACCACAGATGGTCCTTCAAATCCCTAAATCAAATTTCAAAATCCCAAGCCTTCTTCAATTTTAGGCTTAATTTCCATGAATTTCAAGGTAGTTTACACAATAAAAATGAGTTTTAAGTTCAAAAATCTTACCTCCAATCGATTCCCCTTGATTCCCTCTTGAATCTCTCTCAAAAAGCTCTCAAAATACTCAGCTATGAAGGAAAAATGGCTCAAAATCGCGGATGAAATATTTAATGAACTCACTGCCCAGCACTGGAATTCCTTCTTCGCGAACGCGGTCAAACCCACGCGTTCGCGATGCACAACTATTCTTGACCCAAAAATAACCCTTCGCGCACGCAACACCTTACCCGCGAACGCGATGCTCTAACTCTTAAACCTACGCGAACGCGTACTATCTCATGCGAACGCGAAGGACAACTACTCTTGAACCCAAAGCCTTATACGCGAACGCGAACTTTCACCTGCGAACGCGAAGCACAAGCTGCTCACCTTCCGCGAACGCGAGCCCTCAGACGCGAACGCGAAGCAAAAACTCAGGCCAACCCAATTTCCTTCTACGCGATCGCGAGGGACCTCACGCGATCGCGAAGGCTAATTCTTCTGCAACAGCTGATGATCAATTTGTGCAACATTTTAACATGGAAAATGGTCCGATTGACCACCCGAAACTCACCCGAGGCCCTCGGGACCTCAACCAAAAGCACCAACACATCCTAAAACCCCATTCAAACTTGTTCCAATCATCAAAACACCTCAAACAACACCAAATCCATCAATTCACATTGAATTCAAGCCTAAGTTTTCTAAAACTTCCGAAACACGCATTCGATCAAAAACTCAACCAAATCACCTCCGAATGACCTGAAATCTTACACACACATCCCAAATCACATAACGAAGCTACAGCAACTCTCGAAATTCCATTCCGACTCTCAGATCAAAATCTCACCTATCAACCGGAATTCGCCAAAATACTAACTTCGCCAATTCAAGCCTAATTCTACACCGGACCTCCAAAACTAATTCCGATCACGCTCCTAAGTCACAAATCACCTAACGAAGCTAACCAAATCATAAAAACTCCGATCCGAGCTCATATACAAATAAGTCAACTCTTGGTCAAACCTTTCAAATTCAAAGCTTTCAACTGGGACTATTCTGTCAAATTCATTCCAAATTTTCCTAAAACCAAAACCAACGATCTACATTAGTCATAATGCTTAACACGGGGCAAGTCATGCCTGAGAACTGGCGATCAAGGTGTAAAAGCTCAAAACGACCGGTCGGGTCGTTACATCTATGCTGAGGTCTTTGCAGAGACCCACAAGAAGAAGAAGAGTGATGGCACAAGAGAAGGATGGATCGAACCGCGTGCTTTAGAGACATTTGTATAATCCAAACACCAATACTATATTATTTTTCCTTCTTGGTTTATTTTATTTATATAACGTGTATTATTTTTTTTCCAGGACAAGTATCATATTCATCTTGATGCATGGCAACAAACTCAACTTGAAGGAACTCAGCCGACCCCGGAGGATATGACTGCAATTTGGACACAAGCGGCTGGTGGCGTGAATAAAGGTATATATATTATGTAATTATCTATTTTGGTATTAATTTGAAAGTTGCTTGTTTGTTTTCTTACTTCTTTTACTTTCTTTTCTTTATTTCTCGTGAAAATAATAAAATAAAGGTCGAGTCTACGGGATTGGAGTACATCCATCCTCCAGTCGTCCACCAACAACATTATTCACTAGGGCATCAGTTTCCCAAGAAGACATGGAATCTATGCGTCAAAAAGTGGATCAAATATCGCAAGAACTTCAAGAAACTCAGGCTTTGATTCAAAAATTGTTTAAAAAAAAAGCAAGAAAAGAGCTGCAATGGAGTCTGAGTCTGAGGAGGAGATTGAATCTGAATAGGCTATTTGAATGTTTTAGAGTTGAAGTTAGAGACATGTTTAATTTATGTTGTTTGATAGCTCGTTGTTTCATTAGTTGGTTGAATTGTTATAAATATTATTGTTCGCTTTGTGGTAAATATTGAATTTTGGATTGTTACATTAGATTTTTGGTTAATTGTTAGGTGTTTGATTGGCTGTTTTATTTGGCAGGTGGGTAATTAGAAATACAGTAGGATTCTGCCTAAAAATGCCAAGATTTGTGACTGAATCCAACACAAAGTTCACCAGGAATTATCTAGATTTGCGACTGATTCAGTCGCAAATTGAAAATTTCTAACAATATTAATTAATTTTTGCGACTGAATCAGTAGCAAATGGAGAATTTTCAATATTTTTAATTAATTAATAATTATTATTATTTACGACTGTTTCACTCAGAATTTAGCGACTGATTCTGTCGCAACTTTAGCGATTGATTCGGTCGCAAATTGCTTAATTTCTAATGTCCCCGCATTTTTTAGTTTGCGATTGAATCCGTCGCAATTTTTCGACTGATTCAGTCACAAATATATTGTGACCACGTATTTTCTGACTGACACTTTTCAGTCGCAAATCGGTCGAAAAAATACGATTTGCGACTGATTTGCGACTGATTTGACGGTCACAAATTTGCTGTTTTTTAGTAGTGACTATTAGTTACGCTACTAGACTCTTAATCTCTATTAGTATCCTTGTTACATTATTTGATATGACCTTTTATAGTTTTATAATACTTTATCCTGCTTTTTTATAATATTTAAGTAATTTAGTATATATTAATATAACTATTGTTATCTCTAACCATTGGTTCTTATTGATAGTTTGACTCAGTCGAATTTATCAAAGCTTAAATTTATGGCACTTGACATCTTCGGAAGGAATTATTTATTATGGGTTCTTGATGCTAAAATTCACATTGATGCTACAGGTCTTGGGGATACTATTTACAAAAAGATTAAGCATCAAACCAGGATAAATCAAAGGCTATGATTTTCCTTCATCATCATCTCGATGAAGGGCTAAAGACCGAATACTTGACCCTGAAAGATCCATTTGAATTATGGAGGAATTTGAAGGAGCAATATGAGCATCTAAAGGCAATTGTATTATCAAGAACTCGATATGGTGGATTCACTTACGATACAAGATTTTAAAACCATAAGTGAATAAAAATTTGCTGTATTCAGTATAACTTTCCAACATAAGCTATGCGGGAAAACTGTGAATGATAAGGACTTATTAGAAAAAGACTCTTTTCACTTTTCATGCTTCAAATATGATGTTGTAACAACAATATCGTGAAGAGGGTTTAAAGAAAATATTACAAATTGATCTCATGTCTCTTGGTGGCTGAGCAACATAATACTCATTTAATGAAAAATCATGAAGCCCGTCCCACTGGAAATCTTTATTCAAAACAAATTATATTCCATCCATGTTAATTTATGTAAACCTATTTTCTTTTAGTCCGTACAAAAACAATGACCTCTTTTCACATTTGGAAATAATTACCTTTATATAATGATTTATAACCATACAAAATATATGATATTGCCCAATAAAAAATTTTCATTTTTTCTTAAGCTTCAACGTGCCCAATCAAATTAATTTACATAAATAGAAACGAAAGTGGAAAACAAGTGGTCTTAAGCAATGTTTTAAAAGGTGGGGCGTAAGGCAAGGCGTTTTACCTCTGATGAGGCGAGGCGTAAGACCCGAGACATGGGGCCTAGGTCCCACGGATCTTTAAATTTTACTAAGTTCAAGAATTTTAAGATAGCATAAAATAAAAAATTATAAAAATTACATTAAAATCACAAAATTATAACAAATAATCTATTTAAAATATTTATAAATTATAATTCCACTATGATTTAGGTGCAACGTCGTTACAACTCAAGCATCAAAAGTAATGTATTCGATGCGAAATCTTATATGTATCTCTTAAGTAGTAATGAATCTTGAAAGAATTTCGATATTATAATTTGAATTTTTTTTAAAATACTCCTTTTATTTAATATGCTTTCTATTTTAGAGAGAATTTATATAAAAATATAATTCACAATTTAAATATGATTCTCTAGCATCGTTTATTTTTTTAAGTTTCAACAAGTTAATAAAGTGACACATAATCCATCATACTATATCATGATAACTAATTATTTATACATTGTTACTAGCTAATTCTGAGCTATTAAATTAATAAGTATTGTATCCCGTACACGTGAAAAAAAATAATATTTAGGAAAATAATTATTAAAAAAATTATGGACTAACATAATAAAGACATAACAAAAGTTAATAAATAAATACTTTTAAATGAAAGATTTGTTTAAAATTTACTATCATAGTGGTCTTAGTGGATAACGAGCAATAATTTTTATTTTAATTATGACATAAAATACTCTCAACTTAATGATTTATGATTAAGAAAAAAGTAATTTTGAATAGTCAACAATTTATTAAGAAAAATTTGAGGATTTACAAGGTTAGTTACACATAATAGCATAAAGTTTTATTAGGCGAGCCCCGTACGCTGGGCGTTGAGCGTGTCTCGGGCGTAAGCCCTGACGGCCGAGGCTTAAGTCTCACGGAACTAAGCCGCACAGATAAGTTCAGGGGCATTTTACGAGTGCGCCGTCCCAGGACGAGCCCCGAACGAGTCTCAATTCTGCCTTTTAAAACAGAGGTCTTAAGTTCTAGTTATTTCTACCAAGGTGTAAAATTTGCAAATACTTATGTCGTTTCAAAATAATTGAAAAAAAGAAGAAGAAGAAATTATACCTAAACTACACGTAAGGCATGACAAAATCTACGTGGACAGATGCTTCATTTTCAAGGAGCACAGGGGAGACCTTTTCCACAGTACACCGCTCTCTTCGTTTCATTCCATCTCAACAAACAAACATGCATTTCCATTTCCATTTGCATATAGAATAGAAACACAGATTTTCACAGGGAACCTTTTCAAACACTTTGCAACAATGGAGAATTTCGATGGTGAAGAGATCCCTTCGACCACAAGTCCCTTCGACGATCACAGCTACGACGGCTACGACGTCCATTCCCAGCGGTACGAGTTCGACGTTCCCTCCGCCGATGATGGCGGTGTTCCTCCGCCGGTTCCGTCTGATATTGAGGACTTCTCCGCCGGTGAACAGCAGCAACATTACTACCATGATAACGTGCAGTCGCCGGAGAATAATGGTGACTATCATGGTTCACCTTTTGAGACATCGGAGGATCATCGTCAAGGATCTGATGTGCAATCCAAGCCCTATGATCTCGGAGCTGATACAGATGGCATTTTCTCCTCCGGTACTGATGGACCATTGCTTCCCGATCCTACCGAGATGCGTGAAGAAGGTGCTGCTTTTCGCGAATGGCGTCGGTCAGTTTTCAAAACTGTAACTTTTGATCCTCAGATGATACATCATTTGCCCATTACAGTGTGTATGCGTCTTTTTTGGGGCTCAAATATGCTGAATTATGTTTCAGCTTTTCTTTTTTTTGGTTTTCAAATTTTTTTGGATATGTGCCTGACTTTAATTGCCTTAATACGCCCTTTATTGAGTCCTTGTATGACAAATATATAACCTTATCTCATAGTGGAATTAATTAATCAAGAGTCAAAAGGACTCATACTTTATGTTATTATGCATGGAATCAAAGTTGCGGATCCAACATATGAGCAGTCAAGGATTTGGAGAGTATGTATCTTGAGAAGAAATTTTATGTTTTTTTTTACAATGATTGTGTAAAAGATACTTGACAATTAGGTCACCTAAATGCAGTTTTAGGTGACTTTATTTAATAACTTTGATACATTGATAACCTAGAAAAAAATAGTAAACAACCTGATATAACTGGTTAAATCACATTGATGGTGTAAGAAACTCATTACACTGTCCACGTATATAGCTTAAATCCTTTGAATATATGTATGTATAGAACAATCCCTCTAAATACTGGATCTGCCTCTGAGCCTGATTCTCCTAGAAGATGCTGTCAAGTTGTTAGAAATCCAACATTCTAGTCATATAAGCACGCAGTAAAAGATTATATATACTAAAGCCTCTTTTCATTAGCTGCACTTACACTGGACATCCTCTTATGTAGAATATGGATAATGCAACCATATGCCAGTATTCTCTAACTGCAATGTGTGGTTAGTCCTTTTCATCCTTCGTACTGGTACAATTTCTCATTTGATAACTGCTGATCAATGGGGTTAAACTGCAAGTGCCGTCACTGTTGATATGCATCGGGATCACTAGCTCAAGTTTGCAGTTGCATAAGGAAATAAATAATGTGGTCACTTTGGTATTTTTTTGTGTGGATATGATATTGCTGAGTATCTATCATTCATTGAGGAGCTATATCATCGTTGATTGTTGAAGATGCATGACGTTGAAAATTTATTTGACTTTATGCAGTTAAAGGAACTAGACTAGGTAATTAATGCTGCTCGCAATGCAGTATGTTTTACATGCAGTTGAAGTGTCTAGGTTCTTGAGGATTATCTGAGTAAAACATTTAAATAGGCCTTCTGAAGTGCATTGCTGTTTGATGATGGTTTCTTGGTTAGAAAATATTCCTCAACCATGCATTAAATATTAAGAGATTCCAGTTACTTTTAGCTCAGTAAATCCAAAGGTTGCAGTCAATGTATTAAGTTTGTTCTCCATCTTCACGGATTTGAATTATTATACTGATATGAGAGATATCAGAATCAAGTGAAAGACAGTGACTAATGAATCTATGGATTCAAATTCTTTCTTCTTTTTTCATTCTTGAGTCACATTTGTTCAAAATCTCAAACATTAGAGCAATGGTCTGCTGATTTATACCAAAGATATCAAGATGAAACGATGATTGTGTTTTTTTGTTGGATATAAGAGGAAAACACACTGGCAATTATGTGACTTTGTCATTTCGAAGTTTAAGACTGTAGAATTTGCTGTTTTGTGAGTAAAACGCAACTTAGTTATTATAAAGTGTTAATAATAAGTAATGGCGTTTTAGAAATATATTAGAAAGGAGGCATCAAAAGCAATTTGATTTGTGCTAACTCCTTTCAGTCCAGAGGTTAAAAACACAGAATCATTCTGAGACTTGCTGGATGGTATCTGCAATGATTACCATAATTGATTTTCTATACGCTCGATGTGAAAACAAAAAGAAAGTAACAACAGCTTCAAACTTGCAGTAAAAAATTCCAAGGTGTCAAGTAGAACCAATAGCTTACTAAACTAAACTAATGTCATATTACTAATTTGTAGCTAGAGTTTTGCATGTCCCTGGGGCATCTGGGATCGGTCATTGTGTGAAACACGCCAGTCATTGCAGTAAGACTTCTAATCATCAGGAAAGAGGGGAGTATAGTAGTGGTATTGGTGTAGTAGAGCAGATGACTAACTTTATCGTATATGATCTTCAGTAAAATTTAAATATCTAGCTCCCTATGTTTTGTGCTCAGCTCTGATTTTCTCATTGTTCCTTTTTCCTTTACGTGATTTTTGAACAACAATCTGCTTTCTGCTTTCTGGTTAATGTTACTATTATTGTCGTCAATGATTGTGATTTGGGGGGGGGGGGGGGGGTGGGGAGGGGTGGGGAGGAAGGGGCAGATGACGACGGTCTGCTTTCTTGGTTAATGTTATTATTATCATCATCAATGGTTGTGGTTGTGATTGTGTTGTTCTGTTTCCGAAATGTGCTTTCTAGGATAAAATGTACACGTATAATGAATAGTTGCTTCCTCCCTCCTTTCTCTCGTCACTAAGCTTTGCTTCCTCTATTAATACACTGTTTTCACAACTGATCTTATTACTGAGTTCAATAAACTAACTTTAGTTTTGAACACAATCAATAACAGCGTAGAACCTGTTTTTTTCCCTTTCAGTGAGATTTTCGACAGGCTATGAATGATAATTATCATTTTCTACTGAAAACACTGATGTTAAACTTACTTCTACAGCTAGCACGTCACATGATGTTAATTGGTCAAAATTTCTTCGGTTACTAATTCAGTTGTGGATATTTAGTGAGTAACTGCATTTGGGGACCTCAACGTGATTCAGATCAAATTTAGTTTCTTACAATGCTTATGAACGTAATACGCTATTTTACTTGATATACACCATCAGATGAATACTGATGCCCATTGCTTTAACATGCATATTATGCCTGCCAAGATCGAGCATGTTTGCTATGTGATAGTATCTCCTGTCTATTTTCTGCAGCCAAAATGCCATTTATCTTGAGGAGAAGGAGAAGAAGGAAAAGGAAATGAGGAATCAGATTATCGCTGAAGCTGAGGAGTACATACGATCATTTTATGAGAAACGGAAGCTTAATTGCGAGACCAACAAATCTAATAACCGCGAAAGGGAGAAAGTAACTGCTCGCACTCAAACCTCTTATATGTGAAAACGGTAATTGATAGGAAATGACCATGCATGTGCTTTTGTGCAGTTGTACCTGGCCAACCAAGAGAAATTTCACAAAGAAGCTCACAAACAATACTTTAAAGCAATTGCGGAGATTATACCGCGTGAGGTACCTAATACTGAGAAGAGGCGAGGCAAGAAGGAAGAAGAGAGGAAGCCTTCAGTTGCAGTTATCCAGGGCCCAAAGCCTGGGAAACCCACTGACCTGTCTAGAATGCGCCAGCTTTTTCTCAAGCTGAAGCAGAACCCTCCACCACATATGCTACCTCCTCCTGAGAAAGACAAGGATGGTAAGGATGGAAAGGAAGGGAAGGATGCCAAGGATGCGAAGGAAGGAAAGGACGCCAAGGCCACGAAGGAAGGAAAGGATGCCAAAAATGAAAAGATTTCCACACCAAAGGAGGCTAAGGATGGCAAAAATGAAAAAATCGCGACACCAAAGGTGGCTAAGGATGCCAAAAATGAGAAAAGTCCCATAGGAAAGGCAGCTAATGATGTCAAGAACGGGGAAAATGCCGCTCAACAAGGATCTCCAGCTGCTACTATTGACAAGCTTCTTTCACCAGTCAAGGATGCTGAACATCAAGGATCTCCCGGTGCTGCTATTGACAAGCTTGTTTCACCAGTCAAGGATGCTGCACAACAGGGATCTCCCGCTGCTGCTAGTGTTGGTACTCCAAAAGGACCAAAGGCCGATACACTAACTTCGGTTGAAGGCGGACAAGCTGCAGAAAGTGATTCTGCCTCAACTGCATAAATTAGTTCCCAGTAATGCCTTTTCTCTTCTAGCCTAATTAATTCTTGTTACACTGTTCTGGAGTTATTATCATTCATTCATTCTTTTTCCTTGTTGCTCTATGTCTAGTTGCAAATAAGAGCGACTGGCCTTTGAGGATATATGTTCTGTAGCCAGGGGCTTTTCTTCTTGATATGTTTTAGGCTTTTTTTTTTCCGCGACAAGCGTATGAGTTTGTTGTTCACTTTTCCTTTATACAATTGGAGGTAGCTTTTGTAGCAGGAATTTCAGCTTGCTATTTGTGTGTTTCGACTTTTTTTCAGGCTAGTTATTTTTTTAATTGAGGTCGAGAGACAGCAGACCTTAAGTTGAGCCTTCTTTGGCGTTCTGTTGCATCCACACATGACACATTCTTTTCATTCGGCTAGTTTGTGAGTTTTTTACTAGTTCTTTTTACGTTACTTGAACAGAAACGGCGCCTCGTCGCAAGTTAGTCTCTTACTCTCTTTATAGCACGATTAGTTTTATTTATTTATTTATTTTTTTTAAAATAGAGAAAGCTTCTGCGTTGTAATAATAATCAAAGCAAGCAATACGGTTTGGTCTAAGAACTCCTAAATCAGATTTTAGTCAAAACTATAGTACCCTTTTAATCAACTCAGAAACAAGGAAAAAGAAGGCTAAAAAGGCCCAATGGTAATGAATTTTTTTTTTTTTTGGAACCCCAGGAAAACCCGCAGCCGCTACAGCCTCTGCCATAGCCTCTGCCCTTCGGGTGAGCACTCTGTGGTGAACACTCTGTGCGCACTGGGTAAACCCCCCACTGTGTAATAGCCTGCAAACCACACAGGGGATGTAAACCGCACTAGGCAAGCCCCGTGCGACAGGCTCAGACCCAGAAGGCATTGAGGATGAAATATTTTCTTGTGAAATGAATTACTGATATAATTTTACTTTGATGGTCTAGCTTGTCAAAATTTTCTCAGTTTAATTGGTTTTTTGCATCTAAGATTATCTAAAATAGGTTTTGCGATGGTATCTTTATCTTAATTTTACATTTCTTATAGTGTACCCTACTAAGTTTTTTCTTTTTCCGAGTTGGGTCCAATATCATTCCAGAAATTAGTTATTTTTTCATGAATAATCTGATATATTTGAGCATATCTTGTTCTTTGAGTTGTCGATTAACGCGAAAAGGTAAAGTGTTATTCAAATGCAGGGATTGAGAGTAATCCGAGGTTTGAATATAGCCAACTAGGAGCTGAAACAGAGAAAGCTCGAAGCTCGGCTATGGTGATAAAGAAGAATAGAGGAAGAGAGAAGAGAGAAGAGAGAAAGAGAGAGACTGTTCTTGAGAGAACTGTAATTCTTGTTATGATCCAAAATGTAACACAGTCCCTATATGTATTGAATTGAGATGTAATGAGAGATTCTCTTTAGCAACTTCTCAACTAACTCAAACTAACTTTTGGCTCCTAACTAACTTCCGGAACTGACCACTAACTGCCCTAACTGTCACTTTCTTTATTAAACCAGCTCACTTATACTAATTGCATCACTAATTACAATTTGTATAACAGTACATCCCCCTAAAGAGAGATCTTTGTCTTCAAGGATCAAAGTGAGGAAATCGAATTTTAAGTTCATTGTAGTACTCCCATGTAGCATCATCAGCTGGTATTCCTTTCCATTTAACAAGCATTTGTGCCACGACCTTATTTCCTTTTTTCACTATTCGTTTTTGCAAGATCAACTCTGGTTCTGGGCATTGAGGATCAGCAACGTCGACTACTGGAGGATAAGAAATATGATCGGAAATAGCATGCCACTTTTTCAACAAGGACAATGGACCGTTGGATGAATTTTGACGGATGCTGGAAGCAAGAGTGTGTAGGCTACAGAACCTATCCTCTTGGTTACTTGAAAGGTCCATAGAACTTAGCAGCTAGCTTGTGGTACGGCTGAGAAGATATGGTTGTATGCTTATAAGGCTGCACTTCAAATACACTAAATCTCCAACTTAAAAGGATCTGTCACTCCCGTGTTTGTCAGCCTGATTCTTCATCCTTACCTGGGCTCTAGACAAATGATGCTTGAGAAGTTGAAGTTTGAATTCCCTAGTAGTGAGGATGATCTCCACTTCAGTTGCAGCTGATTCACCATGAATGTATGGTAGGTGAATAAGAGGAGGCCTGCCATATAAAGCTTCAAAGGGAGTGGTATGAATGGCTGAATGATAATTGGTATTGTACCAATATTCAGCCATAAGAAGACAAGCTAACCAACCAGTAGGATCTTTTACACAAAAGCATTGGAAATAAGTTTCAGGACATCATTTCACCACTTCTATTTGACCATCAAATTGTGGGTGGTAGGCTGAGGACATATTGAGCTGTACTCCTTGTAGAGCAAAGATCTCCTGCCAAAAATTTCTCAAAAATACTGTATCTCTGTCATTGGTTATGACTTCAGGGAAAACATGTAATTTCACAATGTTGTCTAAGAAAGCCTGAGCCACTATTTGTGCAGTATAAGGGTGTTTTAAGGCAAGGAAGTGAGCATATTTGCTCATCTGTCTACAACTACCATGATAACTTCATGCCCTTTAGCCTTTGGTAAACCATCAATAAAATCCATGCTAATTTGAGACCAAAAAGTGTCAGGTATGGGTAGTGGTGATAATAGACTAGGAGAAGCTTCTAAGCCAGCCTTGTTCTTTTGACACACATCACAACCTAGTACATAAGCGTTGGCATCCTTTCTGAGGTCCTTCCAATAAAACAGTGTTTGCTGTCTTTTAAGAGTAGCTTTCACTCCTAAGTGACCTCCATGTAAGGTGTTGTGCCAGTGGGAAATGATAGTCTGTCTAATGGTTCCCTTGCCTACAACAAGTTTACCTTTCCTTCTTAGCTGCATATGAGACCAAGTGTACTGAGGGTGTATGGTGGAGTCTGCCTGTAACTCTTCAATTAGCTTCTTCACCTCTGGATCCTGATCCCAGCTGTCAATAATGGACTACAACATTTTAGAAGTTTGAGGAAAGACTACCATGGCTAATAGTTCAGCACCAGTGATTCTGGAGAGTGCATCAGCCACCTTGTTTCCAGCTCCTTTCTTGTATTCTATGATGTAATCAAAAGGCATGAGCTTAGTTAGCTACCTCAGTTGAGTATTAGTGTGAATTTTCTGCTCCATCAGAAACTTCAAGGCTTTTTGATCAGTCCTCATAATGAATCTTTGGCCCAATAAGTATTAAGACCACTTCATTTCTGCATGTCCAATAGCAAGGAGTTCTCTGTCATACACATACATAAGAGTTTTCTTGTGAGATAAAGTCTTGCTAATGAAAGCAATGTGATGACCCTGCTGCATCAATACTGCTCCAATGTCATACCCACTAGCATCAGTCTCAACCACAAAAGTCTTAGTGAAGTCAGGTAAAGCTAAAACACGAGCTTGAGTTAATGCTTTCTTAAGCTCATTAAAAGCCTCAGTAGCTTCTGGTGACCATCTGAAGAGTTCTTCTTTAGGAGATCAGTTAGTGGTCGATTGATGATGCCAAAACTCCTAATGAACCTTCTGTATTAGCCTGCTAATCCGAATAACCCTCTCAACTATTTAAGGATAGTAGGAATGGGCCAATTCTGTATAGCCATGATCTTTTGAGGATCTGTAAAGACACCTTCAGCAGTAATGAAATGCCCCATGTATTCAATCCTTTGAACTCCAAAAGAACACTTGCTTCTCTTAGAAAATAATTGATGCCTCCTCATTTCTTCAAATACCAATTGTAAGTATTGTAGATGATCTTATATACACTTACTGTATATCAAGATATCATCAAAGCAAACCAAAAAAAACTTCCTCAAGAACTGATGGAATACGAAATTCATAAGACCTTGGAAGGTAGCTGGTGCATTAGATAAGCCAAAGGGAATAATAAGGTACTCATAGTGCCCTGAATGAGTTCTAAAAGTTGTTTTAGGAAGGTCATCAACAACCATTCTTAGCTGATGATAACCTAATCTGAGATCTATCTTAGAAAAATCATTGAACCTCCCAATTCATCCAACAAATCTTCTACAATAGGAATTGGAAATTTATTCTTGATAGTCTGTTTGTTTAGATCCCCGTAGTCTACACACAATCTCCAAGTACCATCCTTCTTAACTACCAAAACTACAGGAGAAGCAAAGGGACTGCTACTAGGTTGAATTATGCCTTGGTCCAACATTTGTTTCACCAGACCTTTAATAATATCCTTCTTTACGGCAGGATATTTGTAAGGTCTTTTGTTTATAGGTTCTGTTCCATTTTGAAGGATAATTTGGTGGTCAAATATCCCTCTAGATGGTGGTAATGCAGTAGGTTCAACAAACAAATTCTTATACTTTTCTAGCAATGTTGTCAAATTAGGATTACTGCTATAATTATCAACACTAGTCTCCAAAGAATACCATTGCAAACTCTTATCTTCTACACACGGAATAACCTGAATCATTGCATGTTGAGGTTGATTACCTGACAACTTAGCTATCTTCCCAGCATTGGCAGACTTGATTTGATTACCAGCATCTCTGAGCACATGCTTTCTTCCCTTGTAGAAGAACTCCATAGTAAGTTCTTGAAATTCATCTTGGTATCTCCAAGAGTGAATAGCCATTCCACACCTAATACCACATTATAGTTTTCCAGAGGTAATAACATGAAATTGGTTTCAGACCCAACACCCTGTAATAGCCAAGACAATCTGCAAGCCGTATCTACCTTCATGACATTACCATATGCAGCAGCCACTACTTGAGACTAGGTAGTTGTTACATGACACCTTAGCTATTTTACTAATTCAGAATTGATGAAGTTGTGTGTACTCCCGGTATCTATGAGAACGTATAGAGGTTTTTTGGCATTATAGCCAGTAGCTCTTAGGCATTTGAACCCCATAGATCCATTCAATGCATGAATTGAGATCTCCATATGTTTTGTTTGTTCAGCCAATTCCACTATCTGTTCTGAATCCTCAGAACTCTCAGCAGCTTCAGAGTACTCAGGACTCGGCATTTCATCAATTTCTAATGCATAAACCTGCTTAAGGTTCTTGCATTTGTGACCTGGCACATATTTCTCAATGCATAAATAGCACAATCCTTTAGCCCTTTTTTCATTGGCCTCTTCAAAACTTAGTCTTCTTCTGTTGAATCCTCCACTAAAATTTGATTGTGGATCCTTCTTGGGAGCAGGTAAGGCCAGTAATGGCTTGTTCTGGAATCTTTGATCCACATTTCTTTTAAAATTGGT